CATATGACCAATAGCTGCTGCATGCACAGAATCTTGGTTAGTACTCCGACAATAACAGTCTGCATCTCCAATGAATAGAACACCTTGATGATAACAGTTTTGTATGAAATCCTGAATTATGGTCTCAAAGTACTGTTTATTGTTGGATTGATCAACCAATGCTGAAACGATATCCATCGCAAAGATTTGAAAATCTGACTCTCCAGCCAGACAGTTGAGCATGACACTCCAAACTCCTGGAGCCAGTTTCACTGTCAGTCCCATAGGTTGAAGGCCCTTGGCCGCCCTTAGTGTTGCATGTCCTTCCGCCTTCAACCTCTCCCTTAAATTAGGCTTCTCACTTAAAAGATCATACAGAACTTTATCTTGAAGAAAATCCTCAATATCCAGACCCAAAGAGCTCAATCCAGACCCAAAGAGCTCATCCTGATCATTTCTTTGATATGTGCCCTCTCTAAAACCACCCACAGATCAGCACCCTTGTGTTCATTGAAAGGATCAAGGATGAATCCAACACTGCTTGAGAACAGAATAAGCAACGGTGGTATAATACCAACAACCTTATGGAAGTCCCTCAATCCTAACTTTAAAATATCACCATCATCAATACTGATCCTCCCTCTTTCCAGTTCCACAAGCCTGAAGAAAGCATCAAGTATGCTAGATTTCCCTTCCTCATTTTTGTTAGCTTCACCTCTCTCTTTAACCGTACAAGGTTGAACATTTACTTCAGCTTCCCTTCCTTTAACCCTTTTGGGCTTTAAAGATAAATTTATTGAGTTGTTCCCTCTTGGAGATATCAATTCCAGCAATTTGAATAGTAGGGTCCAGATCCACACTGATTCTACTCAACAGGTAATCTTCACCCAACAAAGCAGGTCCAGGAAGTTTGATACTATAAATGATCTGATCTAGTTTTTGATCTGGTTCAGATGAATCAACATATATTGTCACGGCTTTCACTAGAGTCGAATAATAAATCTTATCACCTGTCCTTTTTGACTTATCTGCGCTTGTGACCTCCTCCTCCTGCGCTTTCGGTTCTGACAATCTCAACTTAATGTTCATTGTCGGTGATAAAGTTCCTGGTGATCCATTTTCGGATTCAGTTTGGTCTAGGGTTCTGAAAACTGATGAAGCTTGCACATGGTGAGGAACGCCTAGCGTCGACGAACTGTGACATGCGGCCAGAGACGACAATTTCGAACTGGTCCTTGATGATAGGTGAGGAGCGGCTACTGGCGAACAGGAAGAAGATGCTGGTGACTGCGTACTTGGACTGTGAGACGCAGCTTGTGACTGAGAATAGACCTGTGCACGCGACGAGGTCTGTGAACTAGGTAAAACCGTTCGCGATTGCGAACTAAGAAGAGCTACGGTCGAAGAAACCTGATTTTCAGTTGGCCGACGGCGTCTAGGAGGACTCCTCGCTCGGCCTCTAATTCTCCTGCGACGCTGTTTACGCAAATGATGTATCATCTCGTCCAACATCGTTTCTATCTTCGTCCAGGTGCTATTCTCCAGATTTGCGCGCAAACCAGAAGTGCGATTCTCCATTTTTTTGGTTGCGTGAATACCAATGACACCAATGAAGCTTCCCAGGGCGTAGTGCTCTGATACCAATGATAGATACCAGAATATCACAGTAGAAAAATAGAATATTATTGATGAAGATTTCAGAGATTGAACTGGATTACAATGGCGTAGACAGAAAAAATAGAGAAGAACGGATATTGTTGAGACTGTCCGAGTCGTCTCCCACTCCCAAGCCTAATCCCAGATCCCAAATTTCTGCCTGCCAATTCTACTCCCCTCACTTCTATTTATTCTTTTCCATATGGGCCAGCCCAGTTCTATTAAATTCAGGTCCTAAAACCCTTTTATTCTACAATATTAAAAGACCACCATTATTCTTATTTTTAGTACTATCTAGGTCTCTATCATAGGATCCTTTCCCATTCCTCTCCCACTTCAAGATTTGTTTGCTGATCAGTTTTCATGTTCTCACAGTACAGATAATACCCTTCCCCTTGATTTTGTAATACTTTGCTTAAGGTCTTCCAGGATGCCATAGATCTGCTTAGAGATGGATCCCCCCTGCAAACTCTTCCTTTGTCCTGCTTCTACCCATTGGATATTCAGTTTTCTGAAATTGACTTCAACTTTACCAAAGCTGGCCAACCATTCCATTCCCAGGATTATGTCAATTCCTCCCAACTCTAGGATATAATAGTCTTGTGTGATCATTACGTCTTGGACCCATATCTGCAAATTTTCACATTTACCGTTGTTAATCCACTCCCCATTTCCCATCTCCACCTGGAACCCTGCAGTGGGTGTATAGGGCAGTTTTAGGTCACCCACCAATCTGTGAGATATGAAATTATGGGTGGCTCCTGAATCCAATAGAATAACGACTGGTGCACCACTCTCTGGGTTATTTAAATTTCCCATAAGTTTGAAGGTTCTTTGTGTTGTAATCCCTTCTTTGCTCATACTCGAGAGTTGCATAGTCATTTTCTCTCCCTCTGAATCTACCTCTTATGTGTCGGTCAGCAGTTTGTCCTCCACCTCTGCATCTTCTGGAATTTTCGTGAGTCAGCCGATAGTTCTTCATTTTGCACACATGTTCCTTGTTCCATTTGTCCCCGCATTTTAAACGGGTTTAATGCGCCAAACCCCCCGTGATATGAAAATTCGGCGCATTAGCCCTCTGTGATTTAAAAAATGCGTCAAAGCCCCTTGTGTTTTAAATAATCATGCACAGAACCCCTTTTATGAATAAATTCAATTGTCAAATTAAAAAAATTATTAACATTTTTGTATGATTTAGAGATTTTGACATATTTACTTGCATATTCAATCAGAATATTAGGAAAAGTGGTTTCCAAATCGTTGAATTTATTCATAAAAGGGGTTTTGTGCATGATTAATTAAAACACAAGGGGGTTTGACGCATTTTTTAAATCGCAGGGAGCTAATGCGCTGAATTTCCATATCACGGGGGGGTGGGGGGGTGTGGTTGGTTGGTGCAATAGACCCCCAAACCCCATTTTAAACACAAACCCTTCCGGGTTCTTTCCAGCAGCTCCTCCTGTGTCAGCCCTTGTCTCTTATTCCCAGAGTAAGTGAATCCAGATGGTTCTGTGGTCTTGTAGTCTGTCACACCTTTTGTAGCAGTGGGGTTGTTAGGGTAGGTTCTCCCTCTAGTGCCTTCCCTCCAATTTAAGGATTTGGCTTGAGTTCCCCCTTTATCTTTCCAGCCTCTCTTATCCTCCTCCCTGTGTTTAGCCGTCCTTACTGCAATATTCTTATTTTCGAGTAACAAAGCTCGATCCATCAACTCAGATAGGGATCCCGAAGGATACAATTTCAGCTCAGCTCTAACTTCATCCCGCAACCCATTCATGAAAATCCCCTTCAACATTTCAGTATCTGTGTTTTTCATGTGGGCGATTACTAATTCAAAGTCCTCCCTGTAATCCATCATGCTTCCCGTCTGTTTGATACTCAGCATGGGCCCGTACGGATTTTGCACCAGGTCTGGCTGAAATCGTTTGATAAGGTCTTCCTTTAAAGGTTCCCAGCCCCTATAATAAGTTTGTCCCTCCCACCACTGGAACCAGTTGAGGGTTTTACCCTCCATAGCTATAATCACAACCTCTACTCGTTCTTCAGGAATATCATTCAATCTATCATTCAATCTCAAAAAACGTTCTACTCGGACCAACCAGCCATAGGCATCGTCGCCATTGACCTTTCACAGGCTGCGGAAGTTACCTGCGTAGATCGCGACTCATCGCGAGTGCGGGAGGGTTCAATATGCTGAGGGGACATCTGTCGAGTAGTTCTGGAACGGCCTCTGCTTTGATGGTGCTCCAGTTGTCATCACATGGTCCGCATGTCCTCCGTTCTACGTTGCTCATGCTGTTGCCACATATTTCGCATCTCCTGCATCATGTTGTTTATCCTTTTGTCCATCCTATCACTGAGATCTGCTACTGTGCGTTCCACATATTGTCCATCCAATGCTCCATCTGTGGTCGGGTGAGGGGCATCCACAGTCTCAGGAGTCAATATGCTCTGATACCAATGTTAGGGCACACACACAGTCCAACTCAATATAGGTAATTTATTAGGTAAATAAGTTCAATACAGAGACAGAAAGTTGGAAGGCAACAATGGAAAGGAGAAGAAAGACTTGCAGAACAAGGAAATACAGAAAAAAGGTGAGACCATTCGAGAGGGCCTCTCTCTCCTATTACAACCAACTGCCCAAAAATCTCCCATCTCCTCATGTGCCTTGCTTTATTCTTCTGCTCTTCGGGTCCCACCAATCACTCAGCTTATTGATTCTCCACTTCTCCCTTCAGAATTATCAAAAGACTCTTCTACCCTCTTCTTATTCCTTCTAGTGTAAACCTTTGTGAATTCCCTATTAGGATTTATGTCAAGTGTACCTGGTCTCCTATCACTTTTGGAGCCCAAGTTGTTAACATGAGATTCATCATGTTACTCCCTCCCTGTTCCATCATTGAAGCTACAACTAGGTTTGGCACATTTTTTTAAAAGAAAATAATGGCTGTCAGTTAGCTTACTAGTTTCCCCTTTTGATTGAGAAGGCTGAAAAAGTATGTGTTGGGAAGAGTAAAAAGTTGGTGGTGTTTAAATTATGCAATTGAATATTTACTTTTGGGATAAGACTAATGCCCCCTATTAAAAGGGATGGTGTGATATTTATTTGTTTGATGTATGTTTTTAGATTTAGATAGTTGTAAAGGAAGTAAAGAGATGAAATAAAATTTGGAAAAATCTGGTTTAACAAAACGTATACGTTACGTAGTGACATTTTTCTACTCTAAAACTAACAAGAACAATCCTCGGAAACTTCATCTGTACTAAAAAATATATCAACCCATAGATGTTTCATACTTATATAGTTCAAAAGACAGTTTCTATCAACTACGTCTAGATTCACACCATTTGCTGCTTTTTGTCAGGGGCAGAAAGAAGAAACGGAGGTGGAGAACATTATAGTGGAAAATGAAGTCCAAGATACAGATCAAGATGTTGTTACTCAAGTTCAAACTGATGTGGCTGAAGAGGTGGAGGAAGAAGAGGTAGAAGAAGATATATGGAGCCAGTATAGGAGTGAGGATTGATCCACATTACCCACATATACATACCATTAACCCCCAGCTAAAGCTTGAGTGGTGTTTTAAGTGCCTCAGATTTCAAACCGAAGAGTTCATTTTTGGTAGTTTATATAAACTAGTGGCTGCCGTTTTTCCTTTTTCTGTTGCAAAAGTAGCAATGGGTATTTTGTGCTAACTGTTAATATACCTAAACCGCTCTTTAGCTATGGCGCCAAATTACAATACTATTATGTCCAAATTCTATTACATCAGTGTTTAATCAATCATAGTTCTAATGTTATTGTTATATAAGTGACTTAAAATCGTTGTAAATGAATTGTAATAAAGCGATATGAAAAAGTCCAAAAAGATATTTACATTACGTTTAGGGTTGGACTCGGGCCGGGTCGGGCCCGGTCGGGCCGGCGGTTCTATATAGCTGGACCCGGGACCGGCCCGGGTAGCCACCAGGTCCGGGCCGGGCCTCGGGTTTGGTTAATTTTTTTTTTTGCTTAGCTACCCATCCCTGACCCCCCTCACCCCCCACCCCCAAACCCCTCCTAAACATCAAGCCCAACCCGGTGGAGCCCAAACAAATGAAAAAAACCAAAAAAAAAATAAATTTGGCCCGAACCGGGCCGGGCCTTGTTATGGGTGACCCGAGCCCGGACCGGAAACCCACCGGGTCGGGCCTACCCGGACCGGTCACTGACCGGGCCACCGGTTCGGGCCGGGTCAGAACAGTACCGGTCCCGGGCTGGTTCCGGGTCGGGCCACCCGGCCCGAGTCCAACCCTAATTACGTTTCGTCAAAAAAGATTGACATGTTTGAGTTTTTCTTGTTGAAAGTGGATGATCTTGATTTCGCTAGACTAATCTTGAATTCTCAAAAACTCCCCAACCTCTTGAGATGAGTAAAATTTGAGTTTTTACCAACATATGTGTTGGGTTAATAAGTCTGATAGCAGATCAACCCATTATCCCTTAGCCTGATAGCAAATTGGCCCATTATCACTTGACATGACCATAGGGTGGATAGACATTCATCCTCAGGGTCGGGCCAAACAGGGGCCAAGACTGCCTTGAAGGACCCCAGCTTGAGTCCATTGGCAGCATGGATTCACGTCCTTGTACATCACAGGGCCCAAGAGGACGCTCGTCCTCTTCCCAGACAATATGATCGGAGATATGTTCTTGACCCATTGAGGACCTCAAGCCCAAACCCATCCGAGGTAATGGCTAGGCATGGACCGGTTCCGGTTCGGGCCCGGCCGAGCCTCGGTTCAAGAAGGGGAGGCCCGGAACCGGCCCGGGCCTCGGTTCTAATTTTTTTTTTGGCTTTTCCTAGTTAACCCCCAACCCTCCCCCTCACCCCAAACCAACCCTAACCACCTCAAATGACCCAAAATACGCAACCCTACCCAAAAACTTAAAAAAAATTCAAAAAAAAAAAAAATAGCCCGAACCGGGCCGGTTCACCTTTTGAAGGGCCCGAGCCCGAACTGCCATCCCACCGGGCCCGGAACCGGTTCACCGGGCCAGGCCGGGCCCGCACAGTAGCGGGCCGGTCCGGTTTTGGGTCGGTTGGCCCGGCCCGAGTCCAACACTAGTAATGGCAGGAAACCAATATATTGGCGGGAGACAAATTTAATGCAGTAGATTTATTGGTTGAGAACTCCTATCCACAATCCTTCACATCAGTAACACTACCTACCCCTTGGTAGTATAAGTAGCAACATTTAATCCATTGTAAGGGGTTGACAACTTAATATTCCTAGTAAATAGCAATTGTTTCAGCTCTTAGTACAATGTTAGACGAATGGCCTCAGGGCAAGTAGTTGAAGTGTGTTGTATACGACCCGTCAACTCGAGATATGACCCACTTACTACTTAATATTTGATCCATTTTTACTTGTTTACATTCTAATCTACTAAAACTTCCACTCGAGATCCAAAGGAAGGTGTTGGGTCTTTGGGTTGAAGGAATAAACCTCAACAATACGTATACTTGCCACACATAGGGCTGGACAAGTCCATTTAAAAGTCTAAAAAGGGTGGAGACTTTCAGCATTTTTTTACAAGTAGTACTCATAAATGTCCACACTTTTGGTCATTTTTTCCAGCTTTCTATTTTATGGAGTACTCCCTCCATCCTGTAAAGATGTTCTCGTTTTGACCCTCACACATTTTTATGCAAAAGTTAAAATGTTGTTGACTTTTCTAAACTACCCCCACCCTTCCCACGTGTTGCACAAGTCTAAATAAACATTTAAGCAAAAAGAAGGAACTTCATTGAGTAAAAAAATCATACAAGGGGTAAAAATAAAGGGTAAAAGTACCATGAAGTGATGGTTCTACAGGAAAGTGTCTACTCCCTTTACCGCCTACATAATTCATGCGTACAAAAACCCAAAAGTCCCTCCAAGTTTTTGGAGAGTTCATTCTACACATACGGATGAAAATTCAACCCCCCTCCCAAACCCAAAAATTTTACACTCAAATGGGTGCAACAACCTCAACCATATCATTTATTACCCCATGGATCTTTCTTTGTCTCTCTCTCTCTAGAAGCTCAACCTTCCTTAAATGGAACTGCAGCTACTCCTTTCTCAAATGGCAGTGCAGGTGCTACTCCAGCTGTACCTGCAACACATAACATTCAAGGTCGTGAAGGTGCAACAAGGTAGTGATCTAAACTAAGTAATGCACAGAAAAGCAGTATGGTAGAAATTGATGGATAGCGTACCCGGGGGGTAGCTTATCCGAAGGGTTATTACGGGGAATAACTTAGAGAGAAGTCATAGCAATAAGTAAAAGAGAGAGTATGTATTCAATGTATGAATTGTGTGTTACAATGGGAAAATGAGCCGCTATTTATAGCAGCAATAAATGTTAGATCAATAATCAGGAGGACACATGTCAAGCATCTGACGGCCGAGGGTCACCTCAATCGTGGTGGCACCGGCACTCGCATGTGCACCGCATTAAATGCGGTGGTTGGACACGACGTTGTACTTGGTACGGTGATTCAGCGCATGTGGAGAGGAGATTCTGTCGAGGAGGCTGCCTTCGGCTATGCATGTTGGGCCGAGGGCTCTTTGTTCCCTGTGCCGAGGGCTGTAGGTGCCGAAGGATTGGTTTCCAAGCTTTGTTCTCCTGTGATGTTCCTGGACTTGATTGCAAGCATGGTAGACCTCGGGCATGGTGCCGAAGGGTTGTCTGCGTATTACGGGTTGCCCCCCTTGCGTATTACGGGTTGCCTGGAGTCTGGTTTCGTTGGGCTTGGCCCATTTGGGCCTGTTGGGCCTGATTGTTGTAGTGGAAGTATGTGGGCCGGGGTCCCTCGGCCATATACTCCATCAGAAATACTTTTAGCAAATTTGAGTAAAGGAAAACTTCAGAGGGGCATTGTTGGACAAACAGTTGAACAATTCAACTGTTTTAGACGTACGGTTAACAAAGTGTAGGCTAAAGCTAAAAGGCAACTGAATGATGGGGTGCTTGTTAATGTTCAGAGCCAATGTAAGGGAAATGTGGGAAGAAAAGGAGTTGTTTTTTACTTAGAAAATTTAAAAGACATTCCACTGCATCAAAGAAAGAACATCAGAGCATTAGGATTTGCCCTGGACATGTCCAAGTCTTCTGTGCACATATTAGTCAAAGATAAGAAAATAAAGAGCCATTCAAATGCCATCAAGCCATTACTTACACATGTTGAAAAGGTGAAAAGGTTACAATTCTGTCTATCTCATATTGTGCCTAGGCCTTTCCCAGAAGATTGGTATCCTTCCATTCACTTATGAGGAAAAAGCAATAATCAGGAGGACACATGTCAAGCATCTGACGGCCGAGGGTCACCTCAATCGTGGTGGCACCGGCACTCGCATGTGCACCGCATTAAATGCGGTGGTTGGACACGACGTTGTACTTGGTACGGTGATTCAGCGCATGTGGAGAGGAGATTCTGTCGAGGAGGCTGCCTTCGGCTATGCATGTTGGGCCGAGGGCTCTTTGTTCCCTGTGCCGAGGGCTGTAGGTGCCGAAGGATTGGTTTCCAAGCTTTGTTCTCCTATGATGTTCCTGGACTTGATTGCAAGCATGGTAGACCTCGGGCATGGTGCTGAAGGGTTGCCTGCGTATTACGGGTTGCCCCCCATGCGTATTACGGGTTGCCTGGAGTCTGGTTTCGCTGGGCTTGGCCCATTTGGGCCTGTTGGGCCTGATTGTTGTAGTGGAAGTATGTGGGTCGGAGGTCCCTAGGCCATATACTCTCCATCAGGAGTCTCTCACTCCTTTTGCCGAAAGGTACTTGAGGGTAAAAGAGTAATTGTGGTTGTTCTCCCGAGGACGTCCTTGTTGCGAGAGTTTCCTTGCATTGGTTATTTGCATTCTTGGGCTGCCGAGGGGAGCTGCCAGTCCCCCATTTATGGAGGCTTTTGTTGATGCTTGAGAAAACTTTTAATTTTTTGTGATTTTTGCCCGAAGTCCCCCATTTGTGGAGGCTTTTGTTTTAACTTTTTGCCCGAAGGGGTTCTCCAGTCCCTAGGGGAGAGCGTTGGACGGGTTCGGGTACGACGGGTTGGGTTTTTGCATACCCTTGCGGTTATCGGGATGAGAATATAAAACCCTACCCCGTCCAAAAAATATTTCGTGCTAATCGGGTTGCACAATTTCGGATTTAGGTCGGTTTTAATCGGTTCTCGGGGCCATTCGGGCTGATTAAAATCCAGTAAAAACATAACATGAATAGTTCATAAAATCACGTTGAAATTAAAGTCTGGAACAATCAGCAAGCTGATCTACACAAGGATATAAGTAGTAGGCTTATTCACTTCTCTACAGACTTAGAAGATACAAGTTCACTCTAACTACTCATTTGAGTGTTAGAGTAGAAAAAGTCAACTTCAACACTTGTCAAAAGACTCAGAACTCATAATAAATCAACCATCATCTTTACTCAGGGGCCACTTATATAATAATCTCAGAATCACACAGGCATCATCGAGACATCACATATTCAGAGGCCATTTATATCAAAATCTCTGAATCATGGATTCATATAATCATATGCATGACCAAAGCATCACAAATTAAGAGGTAGTTCATAGAAAGGGTGTCAGGGTCCGAATCTAGGGTTTCAAGCTTCCACCAAACACATAAGAGTGCATCAAAATAATACAACTAATTCATATACAAAACAGATAACACATCACACTTAGGGATTATGCTTCCACCAAATCACCAAGCATACAATTTAGGTATTTAACGTTTATACCTCAGTAAAAATTAAAATTATAGAATGGGTTGCAAGCTTCCACGAATCCACAGGACCACAAGAGTAGAAGACCACAATGCCTTGCAAACTTTGTAACTT